ATATATATATATATATATATATATATATTTGCTCTAAGCAAATTCATAACCTTTCATTTAAGCTTTGGATTATAAGTAACCCAAGAACACAAACTGGCTATTATGTTTAAAGTATAAACCTTCCCTGGAACTGTAAGCAAGAAAACTCGCATGGATTTAGATCTACATCCACAAGAGCAAAACAAAAAAGCCAAGTTCACAAGCTTCTTCAAGATTACTTACCAGACTGGAATACCAAATGTAGAATGTTGTACATGAGGTATCTGGGAAATATGTTTTTACAATGGCCAAATCATATATCTATTTAAATGTCTGCATTACCATTCTGCTGGTAATACGTTTTATGGTGGTAGGTAGCATGTCATAAAAGTTTCAAAGAGACTTTTGTTTTGGTAGTTTCAAGTTACAGTTGGATATTCAAAAAGTGGAGAAATAAGTCAAGGTGAACTTTTTACACCATGTTTATAAATACAATGGACTCTTCACTTCTGTAACCTAATGACTCCCAAGGTAGATTGCATTATCTAATATCCTGTAACTCTTCACAAGTTCCAAAACAATTTTATTTATTTATTTATGTACTTCACAATACAACTAGCGAATTATGCCACTTTAAAAATGGTGTAGAAATATTTTTCAGTACAAACTTTGCTATACAGTATTTCTCTCTACTAACACTACATTTATAGAAGACAACAGATATTTAACTACTGTGTCAAACAGAAAGCAGAAGGTCTAACAACTTCGTGTTTTGTTAGGGCCACACATACCAATAATATTACATCAAATATAGAAATTAATGTTCATTTTTATAATAATTTTCTACTTATTCGATTCACCTACTAAATTATGACACTAAAAAAAAAAAAAAAAATCTGTCACAAAATAGACCAGTAATTTTCTCATGACTATTTCAATTTTTGTTACACCAAGTGGTTTTATTCAAGGCTTGTATAACTGATAAAAGTCCACTAACTCCAGCTTTAAAATAATAAGAAATTTTTTTAGCATTAAAGTGACATGTTTCTCAAGTTTTTCAAGTATTAAGAAACACCAAATATTTGTGAAGTTATACAATATGAAATGTGTTTTTAATATTCAACCAGTGGCATGCATGAAATTCATTATAATTTATACTCCTCAAAGAACATTATGTATTTGAACAAACAGCACAAGAACATCACATTTTCACAATACTGAAAGAGCTACACATCATTCTTTTATCCAAGCAATTTTTTAGTGTATATTAACAAGTATCTCATTACTACTACATTTTTTGTCCAATAACATATTTTTCTTCTTTCTAATACAGCAACAAAAGCAATGCTTTCTAATCCTATACATTCAAACAAAAGTAATATATAAAAATGTGTGGGTTAGTGTTTTCTGTTTGGGGTTTAGAAATTCCACCAGTAATCAACTGCTCATTTTATAGTATCTGAATTTCTTAAGCATTTGTTTGCACCTAACTTGACAGATGGAGCTTCAGTTGAATTACAAACATATAACTGTTCTCTAAATTTAGTGGAATAAAGAGCAAGACCTTTTTTCTACTTCTAGTCTTCACATCTTCTGAGAAACAATCCAAGAACTTGAACACATTACAACGAATGAAAATAGTGGGAACATAGTAGAAAGGAAACTAGATTAACATAAGAAACTTAAACAGAAAACACAAACAGAGAAGCTTTCATCATCAGAAGCATCACACAGGAGATTTCGGGCATTTCAGCAGAAATTTCTGTTTTTACTTGTAAAGCAATATCTATGACCTTATATACTACATTACACCTACATTTTAATACTAGAAATAAATAACTTATAACAGCAAATTTGTTTTTTTAAATAGATACTCAACAGTTTCTTCAGGAGCTTTCCACTAAAACACAAACCATAACTGACATGTGAAAGGCTTCTGATGATTTTTGAAGCTTTGTACTGTCAGTTTTATTTGTGTTTTAGTGGAATGTTTTTGAAAAAGCTGTAAAACAAACTGTTGAGTATTTGATTAAAGAAAAAATAACAACCTTGGTGTTATAAGGTCACTTATTCCTAGTATTAAATTGTCTTTTACACTACAGGAATTAAATAATGAATACAGAAACACTGCAAAATTTGAAATTACCAATTGTATTGAATGTTGTATTTTATGCAAGCGGTAGCATTCTAAGAAATTGAAATATGCCATTTAAAAAAAATGACATTTTAAAACAAAACACAATGAACAAAAAATGAAGATGTATAGAAAATTATATATATATATATATACACCCACAAATAACTTTAAAATTTCAACACGTATTTACTAAAAGCATTATATTCTCATAGCAATTAATTCTGCTTTGTATGTTTTTGATGCCAAAACTACTACAAATTTAAAAATATTTGCAACAGAAATTTCTAAGTAAAAAGTTTAGAGTTAACTAAACCAGAATTAAAGTGTCATGACAAAAAAAAGTGTGTTAAGAGTAGAATACTCAAGAGTTTATCAAACTAGGTGTACTTCTATTTATAGAGAGATCAGCTGCTTCAAAAAATACTCAAGATCAGGAGAAATCTGAATGTAAGTTTTGATTTTTTTAAAGCATTAACCAATTCAATGCATATCTATCCATCTTCACTTCACCTTTTCTTTCTTTTGTTCTTCAATATTCACTCTAATATTCAAAGACTCCATAAGCTAGCATTAGCAATCCCTAAGCAAGTGTTGGATTGAAGGAACGGCATCCAAAGTATAAGAATTTCTATACTTCTGATTGGTTAAAAAAGAAAGAATTGATTTACAAGAAATCAATACAGTCTATTCCCTTTCAACCATCATTATTAAAAGGCTTACTAGTTTTAACCAAGAAAACATCAAAATTTTTCTAACTTCAATGCCACATGCTTTAACACAAATTCATAAAGTGTTTTTATTATCACATGTATCTTTAAATTTATGAAACTTTTCTTGTCGTATTTTAAATAGAAACACTTCTATCAAGAGTTACTGTATGTGGTTATTTATCTTCTGATTTGTATTTTTAAAAACAACTCTGAACATAAACACATCTTAAAAAATTAAATTAAAATGAATATTTCTACAATGCTAAAACCCTTAAAATAAAACTCATGGAACAGAACTGTTTGCAGTTGTCAGAAAAAAACTTTCTTCATTCTAGTATGAGCAAAACAATTTTTTTGATATTGTATATCCATTTTATAGTTAATTTTCTTTTCCAATTTACAAAAAAAAAAATTCTAAATGTCTTATGGATAAGATTAAAATAACTAGGTTACCAAACACAAAGTCATGGCCAAGAATTTTATAGTATTATTTCATATTTTCTAAAGATGACAACTTTTTTAAACTTCTAAATGCAATTCTCACATTTTTAAATCTTGAATCCATGGGTTAAACAACTACTTTCTTTCCTAAATGAAAACTGTTTAATGAGTTCACTTAAACATGAAAACTGGATGAAATGAAAATGGTGATTTTTCTATGTATACACAAGTTTTGAAACACATGCCAAAGTAACTTATTATACATTATTAAACCACATAGGAGAATATTATATATAT